TACTCAATTGATCAGATTGTAATAATATTAAAAGACCCTGCAATGGGTAGTTTAAATTAATAAAAATTATTTATTATTTATTATTTATTATTTATTATTTATTATTTATTATTTATTATTTATTATTTATTATTTATTATTTATTATTTATTATTTATTATTTATTATTTATTTTTAATATTCAGACGTATCGCCACACTCTTTGCCTCATTTAATAGGTTTGAATGAGTAGGCTAAGTCTCTCTTTAGCAGTAAGAGTGGTTAAAGTGATCGCTTTAACCGTAAGGGTAGATAAACTGAAACAGATGAGTGTGCATTCTAATGACATCTGTCACTCCTATTCAAATGCACGATATAAAATGACGTCCAGAATATATGACAATTCTGTTTCTATAGCAACAGTCGCGACGGCAGAACCTAAGCTTGGTGTGTTTGACGTCTCTAAATTAAAATCAGAATTGGCAGAAGGTTTACAATGATTTTACGTTTCGGTTGAAGTTACGTTTTGGTCGAATGCAAAAAGATGTTTAAATGTACCAGTGTTGGTATTTCTGAAAAGCATTTTTTAAGAGCTTTCCAATGATGTATCACAAGTGATACGTCACAATTCAAAATTTAGGCATGGGGGTGGCGGGGGGTACGAGGTTGACGTTGGTTCCTTCTTTATATGACCTTTTGGTTCCCCCTCGATTCTAGCCATTTTGTGATACCTTTAATATAAAAAACGATATCGCCTATTGAAAGTTTTAAAAGTGTCACCCTATGATGATCGAGTAGAATATGGGGGGAACGACGGTTTTTTCAACCGACACAGCGTATTCGGTTATCTACATCCAAAAATTAGAACTTCTTTATTTAATTACGTCCTTCCCAAATGTCTTAAAATACGGGATCAGTGTCAAAATTTAGGTTTTTTAAGGGCGCACTTAACGGATGTAATCTTGTCTTAATCGGAGGCTCTTATCTGTAACCAGTCAACTAATTACGCTTAATTATCGTTATCCCAATAGTCGGAATGAAATCTCCAAATTCGGCAGTTCAGCAATGCCCTGTTGTTCCTTGGAATGTGAGATAAAGCGACGTATCTGTTATCAATATTAAATAAATTTTCTACGAGTACGCTTGCTTCTATCTTCTACTCCTAAATACTTTCCGAACTTACAACGATTCTTGATACCGGGTTTTCATATACAGGGTGTTTTTTTGGGAGCTTTTGTTAAACGTTTCTGGGAAAGTAAAATAGGTAGGTAGTTTTTTGAAAATTTATACTTAGGAGTTACTCTGAAGGCCGAATCGATGTAAAATATTTTCAAAATGGTCACACTTCCGGAAACACCGGAAGTAAATAGTAACTTCGTTATTTTAAATAGCAACCCCTATTATTTAACGGATTTTTGGGTTCTACGTGAAATTTCATTTCTTTTGATGCCCATATGTCGATATCTGCCATTTATGGTTCTAAATTATTTTGACTTTAAGAAAAAAAATGGCGGATTCAGATAGTACCTTGATAATTGAATATACTTGAAAACGGTTGTAGTCATGGCAACCTATTTTTATCAGTGCATTGAGAATGAATAGGGCTTTCTTTCAGTGCCCTTAAAAAAAGTTAAGTTGCTTACGACCGCCCCTATGGAGATCCAAATATATGAAACTTCAAAGACTAAAAACTCAGTTTTTCTTAATGGAATGACCATTTTCTTACTATTGCATGAGATAAAGAATCAAAATGGGCATATATTGATAATACATGTTCCTATAGCTATCTTTAACAGTTTCTGACTTATTCCCATTTTGTTGAATTGACACTATTTTTTTCGGATTTTCTTTTTAGTAGTCGGCCATGATTTTATAACAATCGAATTTTAAACAAATCTAGTGAGACTAATCCATCACCTACTGTTATAGGTTAACATAAGTTTTTCAAAAATCGAAAAATCTCTGGCAGTGGTTTCACCTATTTTGGAATTTAATTGTTATTTATGGTAAAATGGACAGAATCGCGGCTTGCCGTACATTCATTCGAACACTGAAACGAAATTGTATGAATTTTGGAAATGTTGAACCCCCAAATGCACTACAAACCGTTGAAGCACAAGTGATACAAAGCTGTACAAGAGAATATTTAAGAAAATGAATTGAATTGCAAATGCAAGATTAGTAAAATAAATTCATTGCAAAATATAAAAAACTTCGTTGAAACATTTTTGGTATGGAATTGTTGCTAGAACAGATACCTCTCTGAATTTCCAGACTTATACGTTGTTTAAGAAATTCAGTTGAACGACTCTGTCTAGATTTCTCAAAAATTTTCCTTCCTATATCCTTAATAAATGACTTATTTATTAATGATTTATTTAGACTAGAATCAATGATATTAACGAATCCATTCCTTGATTTGTTTAAAATTCGATTCTTATAAAATCATGGCCAACTACTAAAAAGAAAATGCGAAAAAAATGGCATCAATTCCGAGATCAATTCAATGAAATGGGAATAAATCAGAAACTGTTAAAGATAGCTATAGGAACATGTAATATCAAAATATGCCAATTTCGATTCTCTATATCATGCAATAGTCAGAACATGGTCATTCCATTAAAAAAAACTGAGTTTATAGACTTTGAAGTTCCTTAAATTTGGATCTCCATGGGTGCGGTTGTACGCAACTTCACCTTTTTTTAAGTACACTAAGAGAAAGCCCGATTCATTCCATGACTATAACCGTTTTCAAGTAATTATCAAGGTGCCATCTGCATGCGCCATTTTTTTTCATAAAGTCAAAATAACTTAAAAACCATAAATGGCAGATATCGACATATGGGTATTAAAAGAACTGAAATTTCACGTAGAATCCAAAAATGCAATAAAAAAATACGGGTTTCCATTTAAAATAACGAAGTTACTATCTACTTCAGGTGTTTCCGGAAGTGCGGCCATTTTGAAAATATTTTACATCGATTCGGCCTTCAAAATATCTGTTAAGTACACATTTTCAAAAACCTACCCATTTTACTTTCCCAGAAACGTTTAACTAAAGCTCCCAAAAAACACCCTGTACAGTGTAATCACTAAAACTGGTAGTTTCCAGGCAGAAAACGGGTGCTTCGTTAAAAAATAATGCCATAAATATTTAAATACTCTACGAAAATAATTCCCTAAATTTTCTTTCATTAGTTTGTAAGGTAGCGCGGTGAGGCGGCGCAGCAGCCAAAACCAAAACTATGTTTTCGTGTTGGGTTACATGATGACATCAATATTTAAATACATCACAAAAATAATTCCCTGCACGTTTATCATTGTCAAGAAAGCCAAAGAAACCTTCAAAAGTTTTAAAGGCATAGAGGTGATGCGACGTAGCCGCTGAAGCCAAAGCTATACCCTAATGTGGAGTCAAATGATGCCATAAATATTTAAATACATCACAAACATAATTTCGTGCATGTTTATTATTGTAAAAACCCAAAGAAACTTTTAAAAGTTTGTAAAGTCGCGAGGTGAGGCGGCGCAACAGCCGACGCCGAAGCTCATGTTAAGTCAGATTTGGTTGTCAATATCTGAATACTTCACGAAATTGATTTCGTGCATTTTTGACCATTGCGATCAAAACCAAAGAAATCATCAAGAGTTTGTAATTCAGTGAGGCGAGACGAGCTGTTCTGATATTTAAAAAAAGGTAGCGAGGGGATACGGCGCAGCTGCACTCATCAAGTCCCATTTTTAATTTTTTTCTAGAGTGTAGGTTTTCGTCTTTGGACCTGAAGATTAGCTGCGGATTTATTCTCAGCTGCATATAGAACTATTCAGCACTCACCGTTCGACGCCATGATAACAGCAATCAGATGCTGAAACCACACGCTCTAAGAGCTTCGCTAAAAGTTAACTAAATTATTGCGTGGCTGACCTTCACGATTATGACAGAATTTTTTTTCTCGAAACTAAATCATCATAATACTTTAGGCACATAGATAAATATCAATTTTTTAACAGCTTTACATTGACAACATTAATATAAACTCAAAATTCTCACTGGAGATAATTGGAATTCTTTTTGGAAGTTATTGGAATTCAATGGAATCCTTTGGCAGTCAATGGAAATTTTGAAAATTAGTGGAATTATTTATATTGCAATTTTGGAATTCTTTTTTAAATTCTGGATTTCTTTTACACTTTTGTGTATTTTATTCAGTGGTTTATCCCTCTAGGTTTGCAATCTGCATTGTAAATAAGAATCCAGATGGCCGCTGGGAGAGTTCATTAAACCAGCATTGGTTGCGCCAGTTGCATGGCACCGAACATTCTTTCGTATCATTTGTTTTGTTGTGGAATTTCTGAACAAAAGTTTGAACCGTTACATTTTGACTCGAAAACCTAGTTATAGAAGATGCAGGTGTCCACTTCTGTTCCTTTGAAAGTATTTCATTTCGTAAGCATCCTCCACTCGTTCATGGAGTACTTTGATTGACAATCTGGAGTGCTGAATGCGGAAAATTGTAGGTAACAAAGGGTCCTAGTGTAAGAATTCCCTCTAATACTCCAATGATACATTTATAACTTAGCAGGAACCCAGATCACCTTTTACACAATTTACTCAAATTTGTGTCTTCATTAGGGCTGTAATTGTCACTTTTAAAACTGATGTCCTTATTAAAATGTATGAAAGGCATTAATAAACACTCACAACCATTTAAATACCTAAATTTTAAATCCGCAATGATGACTGTAACGTAAAAGCAAAGGACGCCTTTTCGTCAATCGTGCAATTTCCGAACTTGTAAGTAATTTAGAACACAGAATACTGTTGGAGTTATGTCGCATCAGCAAAAATATAAAAATATACATCGCTCCCTTGTCGAAGGAATGACCTCTAGCCCCTAGATAATAAAATATCCTAACATTCTCCTTTTATTGAGACCTCCAACCCTACTTTATTTATATACATTTATTTCGTATTTTAACTGTTAATTTCAGTACGCGACACTATATAATTTATACTTCTTATGAAAGACTTTTATTTATGTTTTATATTACATTAAAATGGAAATTGCGACTTGTTGTTATCGGGCAATTGGGCTTTTACTTTGGCGTAGAAAGCGAAATGTGCTTCTTTGGCAGCTGCAACTTCGGGGGTCTCTCCCAATGCGTTACGTGGAATCTCCTCGGCGAACTTGGTTACCGTCCGCGTTTGAGGGAAGTCAAACTGTGGCGTGTGATGCAATGATGGAAAGCTGATTTGTGGTCCTTGGTTCGTTTGTGGCACCACTGGTAGAATTTTACGAACCTCGGCGTGAGCGGCAGCGTGTTGTGCTTTGGCGGCAGACACTTCGGGTGTGTCCACTAGAAGCCCTTGGGAATCTAAGACTGGTCTAGCTAGAGGACCTTGGAAATGACGTTGAAAGTGCTCGAAGTGTGGGGCATGCTCCTGAATCTTTGGAGATTGTCGAAGCGCGGCTTCATACGCGGCTTGGTGTCGTCGTCTGGCTGCTTCCACTTCCGGGGTTTCAGCTGCAAAACTTCCCAACTGCTGAGGACCGCTTACGAATTGAGATGGGGCTGGCGTATCCGATGTGAGCACCTTGAAACCATCGATTCCAGCTGAATACCTGACGTGTTGTAACTTGCCTTCTTTGTCCAAGTACGAATAACTCCCAATAGTACGACCATCTGCAGTGCGTTGCTCAGATTTACTCTCTACGCCTGACTGGTATCCGTACTTGTATTGTCCATCGAGTGTGCTGTCTTGGAACTGGTTTAGTATGGGAATATCAGCACAAAGGATGCATGTTGCCAAACTCAGTAATAATAAAGCCTACAAATAATTAAATTATTAAACGATCGTACCCAAGACGTACTTACTTTAGCATGCATTGTTGGAGCGAGTAATGGTAAAGAGACATGATTTGTTAATTTTTACATTTTTATATACCTACCCTAATATTAATGAAAGTTGATTGCGTCGGTTTGAATCATTTGCTTACCTTGAGAAGTTTTTCACACTTCACATTAACGATCCAAATTTTTTCTAATCTTATTTTAATTACTTTCGGCTTATTTATTTCCCATTATGGAATGATGGGATATTATAAATACAGTTGAGTCACGAATTCTTAGCACAGATCCAATCTCAATCCAAAATGAAGTTTTTGGTATGTACCTTTAATCTGTTAAAACTTATCAAATTGGTTCATTTACAGGTGATCTTTGCTGCAGTACTCGCCGCTACGGTTGCAAGACCAGCCGACGAACAAATCGTATCGGTATCCCAAGACACCGATGGAAATTACAAGCTCAAGTACGCGATCGCTGGAATTTCGAGGGTCGAACAAGGCGATCCCAAAGGCAACATAATCGGCGCATTTTCATACATCGATCCCCACGGTATTGTTAGAAAGACAGAATTTACTGCCGGTGTACATGGATTTAACGCCGTCGGATCCGACATTCCTCTTCCGGTCGTCGACACTCCAGAAGTAGCGGCTGCAAAAGCTCATCATCTCTCTCTCCTTCGGGAAGCCGAATTGGCACCTAAGGTTGTAGAAGTTAAGGTCGCCGAAATTCCAACGGTAAAAACGGTCCCCGTTCCGCTACTCCAAGTAGGCGCTATCCCGGAAACTCCAGAAGTTCTGGCCGCTAGAGCCGAGCACCTCGCTGCACATGAAGCGGCTAGCAAAACAATCGTTTAAATCATGTTGTGTTATACTTATTTAATTAAACATTTTACTTTTTTTTGTACCTAGCATTTTCTTTTTTTGAAACAAAAAAAATGCATGAAATAAGGATCACTGCGTTCAGTCAGTAAAGCGAAAGTCGTGAAAGTTTGAGCGTTCTATGTCTCTATGTCATTTCTATAATCAGGAGCGTGTTTCTTTGCGAATAAACTTCAGAGATACACAATACTGTGCTACAGCCTTTTTTTAGTGATGGGCAAAATCTCGATTTTCGGCTAAAAGCTTATAACACCTTTTTTTACTAATTTTTTTAATAGATTGAATTCAAAAGGATTAAAAAGGAGTTTTTAAAGAATTAAAAAAAATTAAAGAATGTGACATTTTTTGTATTTTTTTGAATCATTTGAAACTATAGTCTTTTATGAATCTTTTAAAATCTTTTTTAAATGTTGTGCTACAGTTTTCAAAATAAAATTTAATATTCCGTCTATATTAAAAGATACAGGGTGATACATTTAAAAAAATGAGGTTAGATACGATTTATGTGCATCACAACCTACGATTTATTACTTGACTCCGTATACTTATATAAAAAAGGTAGATTATATGCAACAATAATTTGTAATAAACGCATTTTCGATAACTTAATAAATAAAGAAATTTATTTATTTATTTATTTACTTATTTATTTATTTATTTATTTATGTATTTATTTATTTATTTATTGGCCCTCTCTTGTTCTGGGCCCTCAACAGGCTTGTGTCCAATTACAGAGTGACCCGCATAATGCTTTTTAGAGCTGTCCCTGCAGAAAGTCTTAATTTGTTCTATACTACACCGGTATTTACCTTACGGATTAGGAAAACTGCAGGAAAACCTAATTCGGAGTAGCCGGCAGATTGCTCGAAAGTCCCATCTCTGATGCTATAAAAAAGCTGCCTAATAAATATACTGCTGGTCATGACCAAGTTCCAAGTTTCATAGTTAAAGATGTGCTCAAGTATTTCTAAAACCATTACACGTTCTATTTAACTTGGCAATTGCGACCATATCATTTCCGGAGTTATGGAAAATTGCAAGAATATGCTCAGTTCTCAAACATGATGACCCTACAGACGTCGCAAACTACAGACCTGTTAGTATTTTGTGTAACTTTGGAAAAATTTTTGAAATGGTGTTGTATGCTCGCACCTATCCACTCGTCAAGATGTATATCTCTCCGTACCAACATGGATTTATGCAAGGCAGGTCAACTGTCACTAATCTAATGTGTTTAACACAATTTGTATCCGAACTTCTGGACAAGAGAGGACAAGTAGATGTCATATACACAGATTTCTCCAAAGCATTCGATAGAATCTCCCATCACCTCATCCTAACTAAATTGGATAGCTTTGGTGTCCACAATAATTTAATATCCTTTGTGGCATCTTACCTCGTGAATCGCCATCAATATTTTATATATAATAATTATAAGTCGAAACATTTCATCGCTTCATCTGGAGTAACACAGGGGTCTAATTTGGGACCTCTGCTGTTCCTTCTTTTTATTAACGACTTGACTAGTGTGTTCACATGCAAGAACTTATTGTTTGCTGATGATCTTAAGATCTATGCTGCTGTTACTGACATTAGTGACTGCTGGGTTTTACAGTTACAATTGGATCTGCTAGCGAACTGGTGTGAGACAAACCAGCTGGCGTTAAATATATCTAAATGTCATGTCGTATCATATACTCGTAAATCCAACCCAACTATGTATACATATACCATTGGAAATGAAGAGTTGCGTCGATCCACAGCGGTAAAGGATTTAGGTGTTCACTTCGGTTCTGACTTTTCATTCTGTGAACATATAAACCAAATACACTCCGTCAGCTATGAAATCCTTAGGCTACATTATAAGAAATTGCAAATCATTCACTAATATATCTGCATTAACGATCTTATATATTTCACTTGTACGATCAAAAATGGAGTACTGTGCATTAATATGGCAACCGTACCAAGCCTACCTAAAAGCTAAACTGGAATCTGTGCAAAGAAGATTTTTGAAATTCTTTCTTACAAAGCTGATGGTATTTATCCAGAGAGAGGTCATCCCCAACATTTACTGCTGTCTAGATTCAACTTAAATTCACTAGAAGAAAGAAGAATTAAGTCTAACGTCACATTCCTGTATAATCTCTTTCATAACAAGATAGACTGTGGCGAGATACTAAAATTAATAAATTTATATGTACCATGCTTCACGGTCGTCTACCAAATTTTATTGCTCTAAACCGAACACAAACATATTGGCTGCTTCTCCTATTCATTTTATGTGTGCAAATTTCAATAAAATATCAAATATGTGCGACATCCACTTCTCACCTCTAGATATAGTATCTTATTAACTCTTAGGCACGAACTTTTTAATAATTTTTCTATAAATTCTAATATAATCTTTTTTTTCTTTTCTTTATATACCTATAATGCGCCTTACGTTTAGCTTTATTAGTAATTGACCTGTTATTGGATGTATTTATATCTGTCGGTCAATAATAGTACATTATATATCAAGGTAGAGAAGTACAGTATTATTGCCTGAGCACCAAGATTACATCTCGAGGCGCTTGCGCCGAGGGGTGTAAGGTGCGAAGGCAATAATAGACTTCTCTACCGTGGTATATATACTATTTTTTTTACTACTAGCACTTGAAGTCCTCTGAATTAACATATTATATTGATAAGAAAGTGAACGGTTGGACAGAATTTTTTGTTTAAATAGAGAACTTGTCTAAACATTTATTGAGCGAAATTTCGGGTTGTGTTTTCAAAAAGTGACAGCGTGACAGTTCTCATTATTGACTACTAGTTAATAATGTCCACATTATTAACCACTTTGTTACAATTGCCGAGAAAGCCTACTTTACAAGTGGAAAAAAGGTTAATAATCATGTTATCAGACGCTAGTAGTGAAAAAACATTATTATTATCTCTGCCACAGATGAAAAATTCTTACCTCAGCCCAGGTTCGAACACCCTACCTTTCGCCAAACTGCAGGTCAGCTGATCGAGTTGGCCCGTCATACGAGTCAAATATACCTTAAAGATATATTATTATTACAAATTTTTATTTAAACACCCATAACCCTGGGCACCAACAGAAAGAATTAGAATGAGAACTCTGATCTAGGTCGATTAAAGACACAATACATAATTTAGAGCTGAAACAAAATGTATTGGACGAAATCAATTAATCAAGCGAAAAACAAAATAGGCACTCAGGGATAAAGTACAAATATTAGGCAACAAGCGATAGATTGAAACCAAAGATTAAAGAAATCCTAATTATCAATAATAATTCAAAATATCCGGTCATAACTGCGATTTTCACTAATGACAGACATACATACAAACACAAAAACTAGCTGACGTTATTTCGGCAACTTCGCTTCGTTCATTGCATTTAAATTTCTATTTGGATAACGCCCGGATCGTTGTAATTTGAGATGTAATATTGGCTTTTTGATGGTGAATAACTCCCTTTAACTGATCCTTGAAGACTAAAGTTTTTACCTAAGCGTTAATCGTTCGATAAATACAAGACACAACACTCCGACTAACTCTCCTCTACTGCAATTTGTGTCTTTGAAATGAAAGATCTCTGTTTTCTTATCGGTGAAACCTGCTTATCTTGAAACTAATTATCGCAACGATCGGAGATAACATGAGATAAACTTTTACAAAACACTTCGCACAATTTATTCCAGATGATTAAATTAATTAATTACAGATTCGAGCCGGTGAAACATCTTGGTGATGTGAAAACTGGAGAACCTGAAAAATGTTGTGCGCACGTTCAGGTGTTACTTTCAAAGGGCTCTACCGGAGTTGAAGGGGCAGCAGCACGAGTCCTGTAAAGTGTCAACGATATAAACTGGTGGTGATAAAGGAAAAGTTTGGATCATCGCAGCCTTTCGGCGAATCTACCGAGTTGGTTAACCCTTAGGGAGTAGTATACCAAATATCCGCTCAAAAGCAAGGTCCCATCGTTAAAATGTTCGCGACTGTGACAGATTCACTGTTTCCGAACAGCAAACGATCGACGCGATTTTGAATATTCTCTTTTCCACGCCGAAATGCGTTTAGGACATCCAGAAAAGACTTGTTGGTCACTAGGCAATCCCCAGAAACGAAGCTCATCGACTAGACGAATTCACGGAAACATACAAAACGTTGGTGGAATCCCTGTCAGGCATTCTGATCGAAATGTTTAGTTTCTGTATAAAACTCGGCAATTTCCCGTCATTTGGAAACCCGGAAAATTTATAACTATTCTAAAACTCGGTAAGAAGGATCTTACGGATCCCAATCCATACAGAGCGATGGCCAAAGACTGTACGACGAAATCTCACCTGAACGTTTTTTTTTCATCCCAACCCAACCTACAACTGCATTTCTATCAAAGACTTCTCTTCCTTTTCGGCCGCTAAACGTCAAATGAGGACTTTGGTCCTGGGTGAATGGCAGTGGGCGTGTAACGCCTTAATCCTCATTTTTAATGTTAACAACAATTTTATTTAAGCCAGTTTTGCTATCTCTTCCAAAATCTCTTCGAAATATCTTCAAAATCTCTTCAAAGTCTCTCTAAACTACTACATTAACTCTTGCCCAAATAAAGATCATTATCCTATTTCCACCCGCACGGTATGGGGATAAACCATAAGGTAGGTGTCCCAAACGTAAAACACTCCCTCAAAATCTCCTCAAAATCTCTTCAAATTCTCTTTATAATCTCTTCAAAATCTGTTCAAAATCTCTTCAAAATCTCTTCAAATTCTCTTCAAAATCTTTTCACAATCTCTTCAAAATCGCTTCAAAATCTCCAAAACAAGCATCGTACTACAACCCTTTCCTTACTTCTTTCCTCTTATCTTATCATGTGTAACATTTTTTAATAAGATACGGCTGCAGTATTTACATTATTTAGCAACTTTAAACGTGAAATACCGCCTTATCTCAAATTTCGACAAAATTGCAGTTATGGCGCTACTGAATTGGGTGTACGATATAGTATAG